AGAGATATATCTTTATCATAGTCATATCTTTATCAATGATCTGGATGAGGGGATCGAGTGCACCCTCAGTTAGTTTGCAGATGACAACGATTTGGGCAGGAGTGTTGATCTGCTTGAGTGCAGGAAGGTTCAACAGAGGGATCTGGATGGGCTGGATCAATGGGCCAAGGCCAGCTGTATAAGGTTCAGCAAGACTGAGTGTCAGGTCCTGCACTTGGGTCACAACCACCCCATGCAATGCTACAGGCTTGGGCAAGAATAGTGAAAAGCTGCCCTGCAGAAAAGGACTGGGGGCATTGGTTGATAGCCAACTAAATATGAGCCAGCAGTGTGTTCAAGTGGCCAAAAAGGCCAATACCATCCTGGCTTGTGTCAAAAATAGCGTGACCAGCAGGACTAGGGAAGTGATCGTTCCCCTGCACTTGGCACTGGAGAGGCTGCGCCTCAAATACTGTGTTCAGTTTTGGGCCCCTCACTACAAGAAAGACATTGAGGTGCTGGAGCATGTCCAAAGAGGGCAACAAAGCTGGTGAAGGGTCTAGAGCACAAGTCTTATGAGGAGCGGCTGAGAGAACTGGAGTTGTTTAACCTGGAGAAAAGGAAACTCACAGGAGATCTTATCGCTCTCTACAACTAGCTGAAAGGAGGTTGTAGCGCGGTGGGTGTCAGTCTCTTCTCCCAGGTGACAAGTGATAGGACAAGAAATGGCCTCAAGTTGCTCTAGAGGAGGTTTAGATTGGATATTAGGAAAAATTTCTTCACCAAAAGCATTGTCAAGCACTGGAACAGGCTGCCCAGGGAAGTGGTTGACTCACCTGGAGGTATTAAAAAGATGTGTAGATGCGGCACTTAGGGATGTGGTTTAGTGGGACTTGGCAGTGTTAGGTTTACAGTTGGACTCGACAATCTTAGGTCTTTTCCAACCAAAATGATTCTATGATTCTTTGATTCTCTGGCTCTATGGTTCTATAATAGATGTGTCCACGACACTGGATGTGCAACTACTGCAGTTCAGCTTCCTGATTTAGACAGAGGCTGCAACGGTCCTTAGTGACGACTTGGATGCTTTGTTGGAAGCATGCATGTACCTACACAACAAAATACAAGTCCAATCATGCTCCCTGATCTGGGCTGAGTAGATCTGAACACCAAAACCTTGACTTGCTTTATCTCTACTGATTAGAACTGCTCAAGGAGGTACCCGTGTTTGACATCCTTAAAACATTTGTCATTGAGGGTCTGAGCCTAGGGATTCCTGAACACTTGCCCAGCTGATCAGGTCTTATGTTTTTAAACAAAAACATTTTATTCCTAAACATTGTTTGCATTAGTTGGTGCCTCTATTTTTTCTTTATGGAAATAATGAAAGCGTATAAAAGTTTGGGATCTTTAATCCAGCGAGCATTGGTTTGGCATTCAGAAGATATGCAAGCCTCATGGAAAACCGGCGTGGGTGACATCTCTATATCTGAATTTCCCTATGTGGAAAGTAGAGGAAAAGGCAATGACTAGCCTTCTAAAGTGTTTCTAAGATTTACTATGAAAAACTGCTGCACAAGACCTAGGTATTTTTATTACCATTATTATTTGAAATTATACAGCAATAAAAGGAAGGCAAGATCATCAATGACAGCTGAGCAGAGCTTTAATTGGAAAATGGTGTGATGATCCAGGCTGACATTTTCTTTGCTTTATAAGCTCATCTATAACCTGTGTCATTTGTTGTGAGAAACAAAACAAAGTGGGAAAAGAGCTTGCAGCAATCAAACTTAAAGACAAAGATTGCGTGTGAATAACAGGAAATTTTAGGAAAACTGGTACAAGAAGGAGCAGAGAAGCTCCAGACTATTGAGAAAGGGGCCATCAGGAAACAGTCTGCAAGCAAACATGAGTACCTGAAAACACCAATCTCTGCATATTCATGAAGGGCTGGGCATCAAAACTTTGAGAGGGTCCCTTTTGCAGCCAGATTGCAGGCTGGACCCCTCTGAGCCAATGTGTCCCAACCACTAGGAGCTTCGGGAGAGCTTGACAAAGGCTCTCTCTGCTGAGGCTCAGCAAGCTCCTTCATGGGGATTTGGAGATGCAGCTCCTTCTTTATCCAGGGCAGCGCTGGATAGTTTTTCATAAAATGTTTTGAAGTGTGGCTGTGCCAGACCCTTGTGTCTGACAATTATGTTTGTTTAAGCAAGACCTCTGAGTTTGTAACAATGGAATTATCTATTTTTCAGGACAATTAACACAATGTTTTTGTATGAACTGAAGGTCAGAGGATTAATGTGGTTTTATCTACAATGCATTTCTAAAAGCTAATTAAGAATCATTCAGTTCACTCTGTACTAAAGACTGAGAACATTTCACATTAGATGACTCTTGCTCCTCTGCAGCAGCAGAGAGAGAGAGAGGCATGGAGGAAGAGAGGAACAGAGAAAGAGTGAGCTAGTGTGCAAATAAACAAATACATCACAGGGATGCAGTTAATGGAGAGCAATAAAAAATTCCATTCTGGTAACACTAGAGATAAAATTATCTCCTCGACAAAAGGGCTAATCTAAAATATTAACCAGCAAAAATATTCAGTATTTGCAATCACAAGCATTCCTTGTTAGAGGAAGAGAGATGAAGAGGAATAGAAGGAAGTGCTGTTCTTGGAGCATTCTTTTAGCCATGTTTTTATCACCTCGTGCTCATGGAGCTTCTCCTCCTCTCTCCCTCTTCAGTGCCTGACAGCCCGTACATGCCACTGTTCCTCTGTGGGGAAAGCCTGGTTAAGGGGCCTCTGGTCAGAGGTGAGTCTTCTGGGAAGAGGTGCACGAGGGTGAGGAGCAGCCAAGCAGCTGCTCCTGGCAGGAGGATCTGCCTGCTGGCACGGGGACGGGAGCGGGTGGCAGTGGGAAGCAGCGTGCCCCACGCGCACTGTGCCTTTGGGGACCACAAAGGTTGGGGGAGGCAAAATGAGGCACAAAACCAGAGGCGTCCAGAGGTAACGCAGGGATCTGAAAACCAGGGCCAGGAGTTTAATTTTTAATGCAGTGGCCTCTGCCTACCCTTTTAATGGGAAAAGGTAAGAAAATTGGAAGCTGTTCCTACACGCATGCTTTCGGATGCTTATCTACCCAGCTGATTCATGTGCTCTGAGGTTCGTTTGCTGTGTCTGCCCAAAGTATGTAAACACTATCAGACGTTGAGGTGCCTCATTTCGAAACTGGGCTACGCACTACTATTCTGCTGATCAAATGTGGCAATTATTTCAGGCTTAAAACCTTTTAGGGATAACAATAGGTGCCGCCAATCAAAGCTAGAAAGTACACACGCATTCAAAGAGCAAGCCGAACGAGGAATAACAGCAACATGTGTAACTAGAATACATTATGGATTACCATCCTCTTACACAAAGGCTGGTAAACTTCAAAACGCAGCAACCCATGGAGCTAATAAAAGAGACAGAAATGTGTGAATGTCTCGGTTTCTCTAATTTGTGTCTTTCTAGCATTGGTAGGATGACTCACTGGATTTAGCAACAGCTTGTGAAGATGAACGTATTAATAACTTTATGCTGCAGCTCTGCCATAAAATGTAATCTTTTACAATTCTGTATTCTCAAGTGAAACGCAAGCTTAGAACTAGAATAAAATTAGAAAAGATATTTGAATTGTCAGCTTATGTTCTTTTTAAATCTGTGTTTATACATTTAAATATGCAATTTAACTTGGAAAAGAGAATTCCCTTTCATCCTCATTCCTTCCCCAGCGTGCCACTCCCTACTATAAAAGGCTGAAGCATATTTCAATATGGGGCTACCAGGAAAGCACTCCAGGATAGTCTATGCCATTCTGTGTGTTTTTACATTGTACCGAACACAAATTAACTTTTTTTTTTCCCATCCATAAACACTTGAACAGGAAAGCTTATGTAGACCGTGTACGACTCAACGGCAAAGAAGCCAGGTGCATATTGAAATTTGCACATGTAATCCGCTATGTTAGTAAACAATGGGATACATATCCTTTCAGCTTTTGATAAAATTCAACAGATTTGAATAATTAGATAACAGAGCACAAGGCTTGCCTTAAGAACATAGTAACTATAGTCCTGAATCTTTCAATCCTCTTTTAAACCTTTCTCCATGGTTTTAGGCACTACTCTAGTCTACAGAAGGTTCATCTGAGTACTTGGTGACTTGTAGAAGGTTATATAGAAAGTGTCTGAAAAAACAACAAGTAGAATCAGTGTTTCTAAGTATTAAGATGATGACCAAACTACCAGACTGACCATTCTCCTTGATTTTAAACAGACTTGATTTTAATGAGAGTTTCACAGACTGTGTAACTTACTGGAGATATATTTGCGTTTGTGCATGAAACATATGTGTAAATTTACTGAAATAAAGGGAAAGAAAATTTATGACAATTTTAGTGTAGGCAAGACTCAAACATTAATTTGTAATTTTATTGAAAAATTTATCTTTTTATGCTAAATAGCATGTAAAAATAGATTAGGTTCAGGACATTCACTTTAAAAAAAAAATTAAAAAAGTATTTTCTGGGTGTGGATAAAATCTCAGAAAGATAACTATTTTCTACCATATTAAGTGGTTTGATATGTTGACGTTCCTATTTATTACTTACAAATGAGCCGAATTTGTGAAAAAATTCTTGCAAGAATTGATGCACTTCATTCAGTCTTTCCATGCCATGTACCCTTTGAAACTATTTATGCTCTTGATTGATTTAGTGTATAAGAGAAAGCAGTGTTTCTATTGTTTTTGTAAAAATCTCAAGTTCACAGAATTGAGAATTACGTGTATTATATATGCACATATATATAATACACATAAAAGATTATATATAAAATATAATGAAGTCACATTACATTACAGCTTGGATTCTAAAGAGATAATGAATTATATGCATCTCTATCTGAAATGCTTAAAACCTGAATGTGCTTACAATAAATAGTCAGATATCTACTGCAGATAATGACAGACTTGAATTTCTTACCTGTTTTTTTAATTTCAGGGACAGTGGTCTTCTCATGAACTTTCTCTTTTTTCCCTTCTTTTTCTAAGATTTAATTAAAGAAAGTAATTTGATATGCTAGAACTCTGAATTATACACTCAAATACGCAGTCAGCCAAGTCCTGGTGGGCATACACTGAAAAAAATGTGACTTATTTGGAAGTTTAGTTCAGATTATTCCCTTATAGTACTTGCACCCAACTAGCCACAGAGCAATCAGCTGAAAATTAAAATTAATCAGCATGCATCAACTGTGGATGATTTGGACCCTCAATAATTCATCAAAGGCTAGGCAAAAATCATCAGTGCATGAATGTGGTACCTTTTAGCCTAAGCTCCAGTAGGAATGAGATCATTAATAAATAACGAATGATATAAATATTTTCCCATGAAAACTAGACCTTAGTGGATTGTAGATGCTTCCAGTGAATGAATGATCCGAAATGCTATTTAGATGGATATCTAAGGCATTACAGTTTGGTCATGGCAAGTTTTGATTGTGATTCTATAAAAAAAAAATTTAACCCCCAACCTTCAGAAAGTGACATACCGTGAATTGAGTGATACCTCCCATGAGTTCTGTGCATGATAGTATCAGTATGTCCTGCTATACATAGAGACTCCATTAAATGATTAACAAGCCCATAGATGGTCACCCAACAGGACTTTTTATTTGTCGGGAAAGGAATCTAGAAAATATCTGACACTGAGCACATTAAGCATCAGACGTCGAAGAAGCAGTAATATGCAAATAGTGACTAAGCAACTAAGAGAAGGACAATACAGAGCCAGAAGCACAGGATTAACCCAGCAAAAATCAATGGGTTTTGAGTCAGGAGTGGGAGTAAAAGCTGAATGAGGCCAATAAGAAACATTCCCAAACCTTACCTTTCTTCTTAGCTTCAGTCGTAGCCTTCTTTACATCAGTCTTTTTCTTTTCCTCTTTTCTCTCTAAGAAAAGAAATAAAAGTTCATCTAACTATTTTTATGTATAGATATTCATATATACTGGTATGTATGCATGTGTATCTATTTGGTACAGGAATCCTTGGCTAACTGTAATAGATTCTAGATACGGTCACTTATTCAGGAGTTTACTATCAGTAGCTCAGAAATACAGGTTAATACTCAGAGAGTGAATGTAGCACTAAAGATAGAACTGGAACCAGCACATACATCTGATAATTATTCCAGAAATAATGTCCATTAACATGGTGCAACTAAGAGTTTGTTGTGGTGACAGTATCCATGTACTTGCTCTGCTGCTTTTTTAAAATCTGAATGACTGAATGGCAGCAAAACTTGCAAGTGATACTTGGGAATACGTGCAGAATGCCATGAAACACCTGCCTATATGATATATGTTTATAACACTTTTTATGAACTGAACCTTTGAAACTGTCATTACACGACTTCTGTTATTCATAGAGAATTGCAGTTAAAGCGTCATCTACAAAAAAATATAACTTGTTCTTTTAAAAATATCTGCCTCAATTTTGTCAAGTAATTGGACAATGGTAGAAATAAGGATTTGTTAATTGTTTTTTTCACAAAAAGCTACAACAATTTAATTACTTATTCCATTAATATTATTAATTAGAAAATTGAGAGTACAGTAGAGGAAATGAGGAAGTTAGTAATTCCTAATTTTGATGGAGAAGAATACAAGAGTACAAGAATAGTTAATCTGAATGTTTTCTTTTTAACTGCTCATCCACAAAAAGCCAAATTTGTTACCTTCAGGTTGTGCTGCATGGCATTAGGTGTTGATGTAGCTAGTGGAACTATCGTTTTCTTTTTGTGACGTTTTACTGTTATAAATGTGGATAAGATACCAAGTTTTATTACCATACAAAATGGCACAAATACAGGACCATAGGCCTTTAAGTGAGAGTTTTTACTTGAAAAATATTTGAGATATAGGAATATATTCTGAAGCCAGCAGATCCAAGAAGCAAATATGCTATTATCTCTTGAATAAATTAACATGAAGATAAAATGAAGAAACTTACTTTTCACTTCTCTAGCTACCACAATAGACTTTTCTTCTGCATGAAAAAAAATAGAAACAGAGAATGAAAAAAATTAATTGAAATACTGCACAGCATGCTTCCTAAACCAAAATAAAATATGTGTATGTTTGACAGAAAAATTGCTATTTTCATAGAGTACATGAATTCTACAGTCTGTCCGTGGTCATTTCATAAAGTTATTTTGAGTCTCGTGGAGGTAATGTATTTACCAATATCCAGGATCTCCCTGAACCATACTTCTGCTGATTTTCTGACAGTCATGTTTAACATTAAGCATCCTTTTGACATGTTCCAGTTCTTTCTTGCTTTAAATAGATTTGTTCAATGTGTTTCCCTTGTTATTCTCTTGACAAAATGAAGCAGAAAATCCTTGCATGTGTTTTACAGGATGTTTCTCCCAGTGCTTTGTGTGCTTAATTCTCCCTGCTGAAACCCTGAGCGTGCTGGACTTCAAACCTTTGTGTGGTGAGCGTGCGTTACGATGCTCGGCTTTCTTAACCACGTATAGAGCATCGGAGTAGTGCTCATCTTCCACAAGCTCGTTTGCAGCTTTATTCATTTTTACTTTTGAATATTCTTGTTATTGTCTATCTCTCGGGTTCTCAGGAGTGTCTCTCTCTGTGACATGCTGTTCCAGAGACTTACGATAGGGACCATGGCTGCCTCCTCAAAATGGAAGACTTCAGCCTCAGATTACACACAAGCTGTTCCACAGCTCTACTTTCCTGTGCCACCTATGACTTTTCAGTGTTTCGCTTTCACATGCAATGTACAACTCTTCTAATTTCTAAAAGGTCGTTTAGTTGTTTGCTTACTCTGCCTGATTTAACAGAAACTGTTAATCATATCAAGTCTATCAGTTACTGTCAGAAAAAAACCTTCCTTCTAACTGTATTGCTTCCACCAGCATCTACTCCTAGTAACCAGAGACTGAAGTGCTGCTGGTACTTCTGTGATTTTCATTTTTTTCTGAGTGGCTCAGTTCTGGTGACACTGTTAACAACTCCTCTCTTGCAGTTAGCTTTTTTTTTTTTTGCTTCCTTATACTTCTGGTCCTAGGTGATGCACAAGAGTAATTTGTAAGCCTAAGGTCCTTACAATCAACAAGATTCTCTTTAATCAGAGACACATTTCTGCCTGTGATGTGTAGCATGTAGCATGCTTTTGAGGCCTGAATAAGCCACATGAAATCTGCTCCAAGTTTCATAGCAAGGTTCAGAGCCATACGTGTCTTGAGAGCCAGTAGCTGAGACATAGAGCTTTGAGAAGTGGAACTTTGTGTGGAGGATGTACAGGAGGTAGCAGGAATTTTTGCTGCAAGTAGCCTAAAGCACAAGGAGATGACATCTCTGCCTACGGAGTTTTTATTGCTGTCATTCCATCAATTAATTCCACTGACGTAATTTTCTTCCATCAAGCTCTCAAGTTGCAGTATTCAGAGTGTCCAGGGAGCCTAGAGACATCTACATTTGTTATGAATTTTCTAGAGGATGATGACACAGAGGTATTAAAGGACTGTGGCCCCTATTTCCCGTTAGCACTGCCCAATGTAAGACGTGCACTCTTGATCAAGTCTGGGAAAACAATCACAGGGCTTCCATTTGCATCTCAGCTGCATCTAGCCTCATTCATGTCCCTTACAGCTGCTACTGACAAAAGTATATGTAAATGAGACTGATGGACTTGGTAAACGAGTATTATGGAAAGAGTTATTTGTGATTTAAGGAAGTAATCCCATTTCTTGAACAAATTTATTTCCTCTCAATTTGAGTAGCTCATATTTACGCTGTTGCATATTAAGTGTATATTTAACACCAGAAAAATTGCTATTTCTGAAGCAGTAAATGCTATGGGTTTTCTCCAGATATGTACACAACTAAATTAAGAGGCAGAGAAAATAATTAAATAGGATCTTAGGCAGGTCTTTTGCACCATAAAGTATGAACCCCATCTGTTAATTGAAATTATATTTTTTTTTTTTTTAGCAAGGAATAGTAGCAGGACAACAAATGTCCATGGATCAGCTGCATAAAGAGGGATCATAATATGCACAGTGGGTTACACAAGGAAACATAAGGTGTTTTTGATGATTCAGGGTTGACTATAATCATAGAATCATAGAATCATAGAATGGTTAGGGTTGGAAGCGACCTCAAAGATCATCTAGTTCCAACCCCCCTGCCATGGGCAGGGAAATCCTCCACTACACCAGGTTGCCCAAAGCCTCATCCAACCTGGCCTTGAACACTTCCAGGGATGGGGCATCCACAACTTCTCTGGGCAACCTGTTCCAGTACCTCACCACCCTCAATGTAAAGAATTTCTTTCTTATATCTAACCCAAATCTGCCCTCTTTCAGTTTAAATCCATACAGAATTAAAGTGCAATTGACTATTGAAAAATCTATTGCTGTTGTTACATTTTTTGATAACGTACTTAATGCTAATTTTGCATTAGGACCATTAGTCTTGAAACATATCTTTATGTAAAAGGTCTAAGAGATATGCATACAAAAAGACTTCACTTTCAAAAGCCTGCAATGCCTTCACAAGAATGAAAGAGGAATATATGCAGATGGCAGAGTACAAGATGACAGTATCAGTCAGCAAGACAAGCAACGGACTTTGCATTTAGTCAAGATTTTTTTCTGTAGGCTTTATGCAGAAGTGGAGCTTTCTGTAGTACGAGGAGGAAACCAGAAAGCATGAGAAGTGTGAATTAAAGCAGTGATGTACTACTGAATGGGAAATTCAGGTAAAAATATTTTCCTGGGGGGAAAAAAAGAAGCAGCACAGAATAGTTTTCCTGAGAAGTGACTAGAGCAAAGAGAACATCCCCAAAGCAAAGAAACATCTGAGATGGAATTACTTATTTCTCAATAAGTGTTGAGGGACTGAGGACACCAGCAGAAATCCAAGTAAGATTCAACAGAGACCAAGCAAGAGGTGTTTTGATCTGAATTGCCTTTACCAGCTTCAACAACGTCTTTGTGTTATTCTCATGGGACACCAACTAATTTTTGGACAACAGGGGGAGGGGAGATAACAGAAACATGCTAACAATGCCGCACTTGAAAACAGGCCTGGAAAGACCAATGTGATACTGTGCCAGTGCTGAGTGGAAGCTAAATTTAGGGATGCACAGGAGTTACTGGGCATAGTGTCATGGAAAAGCCACCCAGGAACTGGAAAAGAAAGGTGCTCTAAGTTTCTTCTCCATGTTGTTCCAGATGCTCCATGTGTTTACGATGACACTGATTCTGGGAGGACTCATCAGCTCAACCGATCTCCTCTGAGAAACTGAGGTAAGGAGGGCAGCAAAATATAGCCACCAATACTTCCTGTGGAGAGGCATGGGCATGCGTATAACGAACACTAACTAGTGGGATCGAATGCCAGAAGTTTGGAGATGTTTTGGTTCAGATAAGCCTTCGAAAGTTCATATACTTACACAACGCTTATCTGCATTTATCTAAAATCCTGTTGTCAGGAAATCTCAGGAGAAAAGCTCTTGCAAGAGACTTTGGATATTGCCTAGCTTTGTGAAATACTACAACAGCTTTTCTTGCCTACTGATTCTGGTCCTGGCAGAATTGAGGAGCAGCAGAGATACATGTATACTCACTTACATACAAAATAGAACAAAACAAACTTTAATTTAGCTTTTCCTGAGCAATAATAATTTAAACTGAACATGAAAACTTTATTCCATTTTTTTGCAAGTGTCTCTGTACATTTAAGCTAACAATGGCCTAATATTAAAAGATCATTCCAAAAAAACCCAAGTTGTATTTTTAAAATTTATTTCCTTATTAATTTTGAAGAGATTATGGTTCTTTCTTTGTTTTAGTTGGTGACTGAAATCCTTGCCCTGCTGAATTCAATGGAAGTTTTACTGTTGATTTCCATGGGACCTGGA